TTGCGTTGTTCTTTAGAATTAAAGATGAAACACCTTGAGCCGAACACATGGAAAAATTTCACATTTGGCTTTCTGTTGTTTAGTATCTCATATGGAGTTAGCGTGAACCTCTTGTTGAGATATGACCTGTTCTGTGTAAAACAAGCAGCTGAAATAGCATCAGCCCAAAAATAAAGAGGTAAGGAAGCGAAACTTAGCATGGTTCGGGCAGCTTCACACAAAGATCGGTTTCGTCTTTCGACTATTCCGTTCTGTTGTGGTGTGTAGGGAGCTGAGAAATTGTGACTTATTCCCTTTTCTGCAAGAAACTCTTCAAGCTCCCTGTTCTTGAATTCGAGACCATTGTCGCTTCTGATGTTGCGAACAACCTTCTTAAGCTGTATTTCAATTTGCTTGATAAACACTTTCAGCTTTTGAGTCGCTTCAGATTTGAGCTTTAGAAAGAACACCCATGTAAATCGTGAAAAGTCATCAACAATAACAAGAATATACTTGCTACCACCGATGCTTTCGATAGATGAAGGACCACACAAATCGATATGAAGTAATTCGAGTGGTTCAACAACTTTTGTGTTGATTATAGATGGATGACTTTGACGACTCTGCTTCCCCATTTCGCATGCAGCGCACAGATGATCCCTGTCGAACTTGAGCAATGGAAGGTCCCTAACATGACCTCCAGTAACAAGACGGTTGATATCTTTAAAATTAAGATGAGATAATCTTCGGTGCCACAACCAACTTTCATCGGATTGAGCTTTTGACAACAAGCATATAGCTGGGTTTCCTTTGATGGGTTTAAGGTTTAAGGGAAACATTTCACCCTTTCGCTCTGACTTGAGAATCACTTTCTTTGACTTTTTCTCTATGATTTCAGAACCTTCATCATCGAACGAGACTTTGAGACCTGTACCTCCAACAAGCTGAGATACACTAATGAGGTTGTGTTGGAGTCCTTCCACATAAGCCACCTTCCTTATAGTAAAGTCTCCATTTGTTATCATCCCGTATCCCTTTATAGTGCCAAAAGAATTGTTTCCAAACTTGACGTTGCCACCATTTGCAAGAGATCTGTATTCCCTAAGCTCCTCTTTCCTCCCTGTCATGTGACGTGAGCAGCCACTATCGATGTACCATTCTTCGTCGAACTGCTCGTCACTTATAACCTGCAAAAATTAGACAGATTTAGGAACCCAAAATTTCTTGGGTCCACGTGAGCTTTGCATGGGAACGGGAACAATAAGAGAGACATCAACAAGATAAGTTCGTTTTATAAGAGTTGTTTCATCTTTCCTTTTAATGGTAAAAACTTTTATTTTGTTAAGATTAGGTGAGTTAGATTTGGACTCTGGTGTGGATTTATTGACCTTTTGCTTCCACTTTTGCTCAGCTGATGAATGAGATTTTAGAGAACAAGAAGAATCAGATTTAGAACGAGATTAAGATAAAACAGTGGATGAGGAAGAGTTAGAAGAATGAGAAGAATTAGAGTTTTGTTTTCTTTTGTCTTCAGAACCGAACCTTTGCGTTCGGTTGGAGCTGTCTTTGGAACCGAACCTTTGGTTCTGGTTGAAGTCCTTTTCAGAACCGAGCCTTTGGTTTCGGTTGATTTCTTCTTGTGAACCGAACCTTGGCTTTCGGTTTTTGTGACTTTCAATCTTTCCTCCTGGATTGTTTTCATACTTCAGATTCTTGTTTTGATGAGTGAAATATGCATTCTGGGAATGCCAGAATTGTTTCCTTTCCGAAAGGTTCTTCCGGTATATGTTGTTTCTTTCTCTCTTCATGTTCCTCATCTGAGAAGGTTGATGATGGACATTTGCTTTCGTATTCGGTGTCTCCCTGGCTAGTTCCTTTTGAACTGTAGGAGTTTTACTTTGAGCTGAGGAAGCAGAGGGAACGTCTTCTTTTGCCGAGTGATCATTCTTCTGAGGAATATCTTTTGTACCACTGGTGCTCGCCCATCGAAGTTGTTTGGTTTATTCAAGGGCTCAGGTATGTATCTTCCTTTGCTCTTCCAGGAAGTTCTTTCAAATAAACCAATGGTTTCGTCTGCATTATCAATTAGAGCTTCCCAGAAGTACTCATCATAGCCATCAGCATTGTCTTCGTTTACAATGGCTACAAGTTCAGCTGTTTGATTTGGAGTGGTCCTGACCTTTTGATACACAACAGCTTTCTCAACTAATTTTGGGGATTTTTGATGGGATAACCGAGCGAACTCCACTGAGTTTTCAGAAATTAGATTCTTGTGATTTTCAGGTTCGGTTTTAACAAATTCTGAGCAGTCAACCGTGTCCTCTACAGAAATTTCGCTCATGTTATCGTCCTCGTTAAGCTCAGATGCATTTTCAACATCAATTTTGTTTTCTGAGCTTACGTTGGCGTTTAAAGAGTCAAATTTTTGCATGGTTTCGGTTCTCAGTTTAAGTTTGTCATTTTCATCCAAAAGATTTTTAAGCATGTCTTTGTGGTCTTTGGATTTAATGAAGGATTCAATTTTGTCCAGTCCATACATGTAGGTTGGATTGACATCATCAGACGATATCACACTCTCACAATTATAGGCTTCGGCATCGATTTCATCTTCCTTAAACTCTAGGAAGGGCAAAATCATGCGGTGAATCCTTTGGCCTATTTCACAATCCAAGTGAAGCTGAGTAATATTAGAATACAGACGTTTAGCAATTAAACAAAAAACATTTCGTTGTTTTAACAATTTCAAATTGTCTCTTTGCAAATAAATGTTTTCATCTTTAACTTTGACTAATTCCGACTCCTTTAACTCTATCCACATTCTCCGCTCCTCACTCTTCGACGCCACCCTGCTCAATTGATCAATTAGGTTAGAATTTGTGACTCGAGTTTGAGTTAAGCTACTATCTAGATGTGAAATTCTTGTATTGACGTTTTTTAGTTCTTTCTCATAAGAGGATGATGCTACTTTGCATGAAATAAAAACAGATTGTACCTTCTTTATCAGTTCATCGAGCTCATTGAACTGCTGGCTGAGAGGTTTGGCTGTAAAGAACATGTCCTCCTTTGCTTTCTGTCCATCAATACCTCCATCGGTGTTGTATCCCCTCATTTGAGATACGTCAGAAACCATGAGGCATTTTCCACCACTGCTTTCTTCCTTAGACAAGTAGGCCTTTCCATGAGTAGGTTGCCTCACTTCCTCGTCTTCTGAGTCGGTAGACCAAACTTCCGTGCTACCGAACTCATCACCTAGAACAGAACCCTGCACAATAAGAGCATTAATAGGCGGGTTAGCAGCAGACTTCTTCTTTCTCAACTCATCCAATCTTTTCTGCAACACGGCTTCCTCGTCGTTCCCATCATCTTTTTCAGCCAATTTCTTAAGGACACAGTCCTTAGCATAATGATTTTTCCCACCACAATAGAAACAGCTCACTCCAGAGTCGCCATCCACTTTCGGTTCCTTCTTGTGCTCCTCAGCTTTCGGTTCATTAATCACCTTTTCAGAGCTGTAACTCCCCTGCCAGTTTCGGTTTTTGTTGCTGGGGAATCTCTTCTTTATGAACCTTTTGGGATTGGACACCATCAAGGCATAATCCTCTGATGTGAGATCATATTCTTCCAGGTTGAGGTCTTCATCCTCCATAACAGCTTTACTTTTTGACAGGAGGGCCAACGAACCAAGACTGGAAACAAACGTTCTTATCTTGCACCACGATCTTCTCTTGAGACGTGAGAATTCCCACCAGTTTCGCCAGAGAGTATGATTTAAACTGCTCATGGGCTTTAACTGTGGAAACTACTGCTCTCCATTCAGACCTCAGACTATTCAGGAATGTAACCTTCTGTTCGATGAGCTTCCTTTCAATATCGTGTTTGATCATTTTTGCTGAGAAGATGATTGAAGCGATCGAACGTCTGGGTCACAGATTCTTCAACCCCTTGCCTGAATTCTCCAAACTCAGATAGAAGCAAAGTTTGAATCGAATGTTCAAGATCTTCGTCTGTAGAATACAGTTCGCGAAGTCTATCCCAAACATCCTTTGCCGTCGTGCATGAACTAACCAATCTGAATGTATCGGACTGAAGGGCGAACCGGATCAATCTTAATGCCTTGATATTGCATTGGAACTTATCCTTTTCATCTTGTGCAATATCTTTCACGTCCTTTAGCAGATCATTGTATTCTTTTTGAGTCTTGATGATTCTGGACGTTGCAGAATGAGAAAACGGTCCATTGGTGATGGCTTCCCAAATCAGATACCCATTCTCCTCCGATCCAATAACATAGTCTTCGAAGTGATGTGCCCATACTTCATAGTCATGGGTGTATAAGATCGGAATCTTTGTCGTCGAACCAATGCTGTTGGAAATATTAATAAGGTTTGATTGTGTCGCGTCCATTATGATCGTAAAAACCTGTTCAAAGATCAGACTTGTAATAAAGCAGATTAGGGCAAAGTAATAAATATCAAGATACGTCAATAAAGAGATGACGGCTCAATAAATATTAATGATTGCGGAAAAACCCTAATGGAAATCTTTTTCACAGAAAAGATGTGTATCAATTACACAGCCTCCTGCTCTGATACCAATTGATGAGATTTAAGAATCTATGAAGATCGATTAGATCTTGAACAAGTAAGTTAAACAAAGACGATAAAAACACAATAATAAGAACGAGACAAGATTGAATCAAACGAGTCGAATGATTAAACAAAATCCTCAGAAGAGCTCGATTAAGAACATCAACTGTAGAGGATTGGAAGGTTACAAGAACGATCAAGGAAACCTGTTGTCGTCTAGATGTATCGCTATTCTCAGATCTCTAAAACCTTAACCTAATATGCATGCAAGCATAAACTTATATACAAAACATAAAAGGCTCACGGTTGGACAGGCCCAAACCGGAATACAAAATAGCATAATCAGGTGAGCCCAAAAAGACGCAATCTTCAAAGCCCAACAATTATCTATCATATAAAACATTCTTTTAACTTGTAATACACTTCAGGCAACATATGTTGGAATTGAAGGATCTGAACCCCCGTCATGCTCGCAAGAGTACATGGTTGCAGAGCCAACATAGTCGGACATTTATTAGTTGGTTTAAGAAAGAGGTTTGTTTTTAAAATAAGATTGTTAGAATTACAATATTTTTAATTATTTTTTTGAATTACATTAATTATATATTTTTCTATTAGGTTGGAAAACGTTTGGCTAACGGGGAAGATATTTGTGATGATGTTCGTTGGTTGGCCAAAGGGCCTAATTTTGCTGTTACTAAATATAGCGGTTTTGCCATAAATGAATATCATTTTCATACAACATCTCGTGATGAGTCTAGAACAACTCAATGCAGTGGAGTGTCTTTAGTTGCACATACTATGCAGATTGCTAATGCAAAAGACTCCAATCCTGTGTATGGTGTTGTTACTTACTTCGGCCATATAAAGGAGATATGGGATCTTAATTATCACATGTTTAGTATTCCTGTATTCATGTGTGATTGGGTTGATAGTCGTGGAGTAAAAAAGGATGATTTGGGATTCACGGTAGTTAACTTTGATAAGCTTGGTCAAAAGTCTGAACCCTTCGTATTAGCTAGTCAAGTCAAACAGGTTTTTTATGTTCAAGATCAACAAGATGAGAATTTGCATGTTGTTGGATTCACACCTCATAGGATGTACAAGTATGGATCAAATGGTGAAACTGATGATATGCTGGAATTTGATGTTACTTTTGATTTAGCACAAGATTCCGCTTTATTACACCTTGATGATGATTTTTTGTGTACGCGTCCGGATGGCGAGGGCATATTAGTGTAAATATTTTTTTTGCAGAATAATAAACTTTTTGGTATGTTTTTATTTCAGATTTTGAATGTGATTAATCAATGTCCAACTGCAACAAATAACAACGTACTTAATTTAATTTGAATCTTGTTGAAACAGGTTGTGTTTTTGTGACATGGAATCAGATTCAGCTTCTGATCAAGATGAGGACTCCAAACAAAGAGGTCCGACAACAAAGACAAAAGCTAATAAAGTGAAGCTTGTAATAACTTACAATAAAAAGGTGTCCCGGTTGGAAAGGAAGCCACAAAACTGTCTACTTTTGAGGGTTTGGTTGCAAGAACAATGGTTCCCATAACCTATGACTCGTGGCTGGAAGTTAGTGAGGAAGTAAGGGAAGGATTATGGCAATATGTTTTGGTAAGTCTCTGTTTTCTTCCTATTATTACCTTTGTTCAGATCTGTTTTTGTCCCTGTTCAGATTTGTTTTTGAACCAACCTTTTTTTTATGTTTCAGGAAAAGTTTGTAGTTGACCCAAAGAGCCGGAAGCAAATTCTCCAATCGATCGGGAAGAAGTGGAGAAACTTCAAGCATTATCTATATGCCAAGTTCATTAAGAACCGAAGTAAAGATCCCAAGGCAAATCTATTCAAACCTCCGAAAGATTATCCGTTTATAAAGAAAGAAGATTGGAAAGTTTTTGTATCCCATAGAGTTACAAAGAAGTGGGAGGTTTGTTAAACTTTTATTATATGCATTTGTAGTTACAATTTTAATGTTTGTATTTATAATTTTAATGTTTCTAATGCAGGAGAAAAGTATGAAAGCTAAAAATACTCGTGCACATCATAAATACAATCATCGTTTGAGCAGAAAAGGATATGCTGGACTCATTAATGACATTGTATGATTCCCACTGAATATTGATTATTTTATTTGTATATATTTATGTTAATTGACTTTGTTATTCTTGATAATTTAGATGCAAGAAACCGGCAAGACGGAAGAGGAGATTGATAGGACAATGCTGTGGAAAAAAGCAGAGAGTTGAAGACAGGAGGATACGATGCAGATGTGAAGACGATTGTTGATAAAATTGTAAGTTTCATTAATTCCCAAATATATAAAAAAAAATAACATTTGTCCCATTTTATTTTTCTAACATTTGTCCGATTTTATTTTACAGGATGAGCTTCAGAAATCGGGAAGCTTTGGAGAGGTTACATGTGGAACACATGATGTGCTTACAGAGGCGTTGGGTACTCAGGAACAACGTGGGCGTGTACGAGGGATGGGTAGATTTATAACGCCACAACAATACTTTTATTTACCCAAGAATGTTAAGTATTACTTGGAGATTGAGAACGAGAGGGTGGATAAACGGATCAACAAACTTGAAGATGACTTGGAGAAACTAAAAAGAGGTGTACTTAATGTTTCTGAAGCTGCAAGTTGCCAAATAGGGGGCGTCATTGAAGATTTTAAAAAACAACCACAGAATGAATCACTTGTAAGTCCTCGAAGACAATTATGAAAAATATATTTAAATAATTTTGTTTTTCTACAAACTAACATACTATATTTTGCAGGATAATTCATGTCTTCTTGCGGTTGAATTTGCTGCAAATGTAGTTGCTAAAGGAACCATAATGAAAGCATCGGGTATTTTGAAATATATTTGCATTATTATTATTTATATATTTTCATTTTTTAGAGGATTGGATCTTAATTATTTTTTATGTTTATGTAACATATGAAAACATTGAAGTTATGATTGAAACAATTTTGCAAGGAGAAGCTTTAGTACCCTTTCCACTTGAAGAGGAGTTCATTGTGAAGGTCAAAGATGCATTGGGACACATACTAAGCTGGCCAAGACACTTAGTTATTCGATGCTCTGACCTGGTAATACTATTTGAACATATTTTCCCTTGGTTATCTTAATTTTTCTGATATTTGAGTGAGTTCTTAATTTTTCTGGTAATACTATTTGTATTTTTGATTGCATTTGTAAGGAAAAGTGGTGGCGAAATCTGTGAAAAAGCATGCAACACTAGTGAAGAAAGCTGCAACACCAGTGAATGAAGATGTAACACTAGTGAAGGAAGATGCAACACCTCCAAAAGAAGAAATAGGAAGTAATAAGAAAGAAAAGGGGACAGGAAAAATGGTTGATAGAGAAAAACAACCATGTGATATGGAAGGAGGGAATGATGTGGAAGAAGGGAATGATGTGGAAGAAGTACTAATTGGAATAGAAAAGAAGATTAAAAAGGAGAAACAAAATGTGACCGTGCAAAGAAGGTGGACCAGAGCACAGATGAAGACAAGGATAAGGATTGAGAACAGTAGTATTTTGAAAATGACTGCAATGATGGCTGATGGACAAGTTACAAAGGTTGATTCTATAAGAGTGCAGAGTGAGAATGATCTTTTTGGGTACGATAGTTACACATACTTAACTTGGGATGATTTTGAAGCAGTTCTTACAATGGATGAGTTGACCGGTGCTGTTATTGTGTCTTATATGATGTAAGTGCAAGAAATTTAATTTAAATAACAATGTGTCTTAAAAAAAATGTTTAATGAATTTAGTGTTTGTATGATAACAGGGTGTTATTTAACAAATTGAAGTATGGCTCCCCAGAAAGAGACCATGGAATTTGCTTTGTGAACCCGGAAGTAATCTCACCAAGTACGCGTAAAGAGAAATCTAAGAATATTGACGATGCAAGCAGAGGTTTAGCAGATCGGTTGTCTAAAAGAAAGGGCAATGACATCATCTTTATGCCCTACAATCCCGGGTATTGTTATTTGACATTTTATTTTTAAAATGACTGCAATTATGTTATTTGACATTTTTTTTGTGGTTTTTGTAGAAGACATTGGGTATTGGGTGTACTAGACATGAAATTGGATACTTGCTATTATCTTGATTCCTTGAGCTCTGCCAATTTCAATATGCAGTTGAAGCAAATTGTTGATTCGTAAGTAATATAAATTATCAAAACACTTGATGTGAGTACAATAAACACATATTTGTTAATGTTTTTTTTATAGGGCAATGGTTCTGTACACTTCACAAAGTGGATCCAACAAAAGGGTTAAACTAAATTGGGTTAATGTTACGGTCAGCACTTAATTCCTTATTGAAATTGTAGTTTTAACTTTATTTTTTGGATCAATTGAAATGATCATTTTATATGTAATTGTGTAGTGTCCAGTTCAGCCCGGATCTACCGAATGTGGCTACTACATGCTAAGGTTCATGAAGGAGATAGTGGAAGAAGGAATTGAAGTGTTGGTCAAAGACAATGTAAGGATATAACATTCTACTTTCATTACTATAATTCATGGCATCCTTACTATTACAGAATATGTGCTTTCATTCATTTGAAAGTACAATGCTCATTAAGAAAGAATAATTTACATTTTATGCTTAGTTGTTAAATATATCAACTTACTATTACAGAATATGTTAATATGCTATTTTTTATTAATAAAAACAATATGCAAATGTTTTCATAGATCGGGGATGGCAAAGTTGATTACACAACTGCTGATATCGATGAGATACGTGAAGAATGGTCAAAGTTTGTTACAGGCTTCATTTATCGATGATATGTATGGTCTTTTGACAATGTATCCGCAAAACAATGTTATGGTTAACCACTAATGCTAGGTATGGTCTTTTGACATGTGTAATGCTAGGTAGTCTTTTGAGACACTTGTACAATTTTTTGCTAACTTTTAGTAATGTTACTTAAGGTAACATGTAGTTACAACTTAGGTAATTCAACATATATGTAAAGTTGTTTGACGATTAGATGAAAATGAATGTTTTGGTATATTTGTCATTTATTATGTGTATTCACGTTGTAAATGTGTGTTTTAAATGCACGTCGTAAAGGCGCGTAGTAAAAACGAGAGACGTAAGGTTAGGACATGCGAATGAGCGTCGTCTTTCTTTATGACATGACCTTCCTTGACACGCATTGCGTATCATAAGCGTGCGTCGTCTGTAGACGACGCGCATTTGAGCGTCATCTTCCTTTATGACATGGGCTTCCTTGACACGCAATGCATATCACAAGAGCGCGTCGTCTACAGACGACGCGCATTTGAGCGTCATCTTCTTTTATGACATGGCCTTCCTTGACACGCAATGTGTATCATAAGGGCGCGTCGTGTCTAGACGACGCGCATTTGCACGTCATCTATACTTATGACATGTCCTTCCTTGACGCGCATTGCGTATCATAAGAGAGCGTCGTAAATGCGCGTGGTAAATGCGCGTCGTCTTTAGACGATACGCATATGCGCGTCGTCTATATTTATGACATGGCCTTCCTTGACACGCATTTGCGCATCGTCTGAGCCTTTTACGACCCGCAATGAGCATCGTAAAAGGCCTTTTTTCTAGTAGTGAAATAAAGAAGGCCCGTTATCATGAGATGTTATGGAGTGATATGCACCAGTTTGTGAGTCGGTCCAACTGTAAAACACTGGATGATATGATTGCGAGGGCTCGTGAGAGAGAGATAGATTTGGAGATGGAGAAGAAGAGGAGGCCAAAGGCGGCATCTGGCACAGGGAGTTTGGGCAAAAATCCTAAGGTATCAGATCACAGATCTAGAGGACGGCAGGGCCACAGTTGGTGTGGCAAGTATGGGAGATCGCACGATGGGGCGTGCAAGGCAGGCAGTACCAGTTACTACACGTTTGGCCGGATTGGGCATATGAGTAGAGATTGTACAACTACTACAACCATCGCAACATCTGATCTGATTTGCTTCCATTGCAATTAGAAGGGACATAAAAAGTCCCAGTGTCCAACTTTAGCAGCAACAGGGAAGGTGGTAGCACCTACCCCTGCAACATTGAGGATTACAGACGACCGCCAGGGTCAGAGTGAGATGCCAATGGCGAAGAGTAGAGCTTTTCAGATGCCGACTGAGGTGGCACGAGTGACTCCTGATATGGTGGCGGGTATGTATCTTTCTCTTATCTCTTTATTGATATTGATTGGTTCTCATGATTATATGTTTTCGTATAGGGTCGTTCTTAGTGAATGACATTTCTGCTTCAGTATTGTTTGTCTCGGGGGCTACCCGATCATTTGTCTCACTTGAGCTTAGCAAGAGGTTTAGTAGAGCTCCGGGGGAGCTGGATTGTCCACTTGAGGTTGAGATAGCAGACGACAGGACCGTCAGGATCGTGAGAGTACATAGGGGGTGTTCGTTGCAATTATTTGATGAGCAGTTTTCACTGGACTTGGTTCCTATTCCCCTAAGGGGGAATAAGGTTATAGTGGGTATGGATTGGCTAAGCCCCAATGGGGCAGTGATTGATTGTGAGCTGCAGTTAGTGAGGTTTCACACTCCCAGTGGGGGAGAGTTAGTGATTCAGGGCGAGAGGCCACGGCGCGGACCAGTACTTTGTACTGCAGCGAGGGCGAGACGCTACATTCAGGAGGGTTGCGCAGGGTACATCGCATATGTTATAGATGCCCGGGAGAAGGGTAAGGCGACAGTTGATGATGTACCAGTAGTGCGAGAGTATTCGTACGTATTCCCCAGGGGATTTACCTGGGATACCTCCAGAAAGACAGGTCGAGTTTCGGATTGACCTAGTTCCTGGTGCGGCTCCGATAGCCAAGGCACCGTATCGGTTGGCTCCTACAGAGATGCAAGAGTTGTCTACACAGCTACAGGAGCTGCTAGACAAGGGTTTCATCAGGCTGAGTAGTTCATCATGGGGAGCCCCGATCCTATTCGTAAGAAAGAAGGATGGATCGCATCACATGTGCATATATATTACCGGGAGCTGAATAAGGTGACAGTGAAGAACCGTTACCCACTCCCGAGGATAGATGACTTATTTGACCAGCTTCAGGGAGCATCTTAGTTCTCCAAGATTGATTTGTGGTCAGGATATCACCAGATGCGGGTCAGGGTGGAGGATGTGCAGAAGACCGCTTTTAGGACCCGCTATGGTCATTATGTGTTTGTGGTGATGTTGTTCGGGCTCACCAACGCTCCAACCACGTTCATAGATCTCATGAACCGCGTATGTAGATTGATCTTGGATCGGTCTATAATAGTATTCACTGATGACATCTTGGTTTATTCCAAGACTCGGGAGCAACACGAGGAGCACCTGAGAGAGGTGCTAGAGACGCTGAGGAGGGAGAGACTTTTCGTGAAGTTCTCCAAATGTGAGTTCTAGTTGCGCGAGGTGTAGTTCCTTGGACACCTCGTCAACTAGAAGGGTATACTAGTAGATCCGGCCAAGATAGAGGCCGTGATATAGTGGGAGGTTCGAGGTCTCCATCTGAGATTCAGAGCTTCCTAGGATTGGCAGGGTACTACAAGAGATTCATCTAGGATTTCTCCAAGATAGCAGTTCCACTCACCCGACTGACCAAGAAGTTGGTGGTGTTTAGTTGAGGGCCTGAGCAGCAGGCAGCATTTGAGACCCTCAGACAGAGATTGTGCGAGGCGCCAATTCTTACCCTGCCAGAGGGTGTAGAGGATTTTGTAGTCTATTGTGATGCTTCGATCACAGGTATGGGAGTGGCGTTGATGCAGTGGGGGCATGTGATAGCTTATGCCTCTAGAAAATTGAAGCCTCACGAGGCTAACTATCCGACGCACGATTTAGAGTTGGGGGAAGTGGTGTTCACCCTCAATATTTGGAGACATTACCTCTATGGGGTCCATTGTACCATTCACACGGATCACAAAAGTTTGAGGTACCTCATTGATCAGCCGAATTTGAACATGAGGTAGTGTCGATGGTTAGACGTAGTAAAGGATTATGATTGTGAGATCCTTTATCATCCAGGTAAGGCCAACGTAGTGGCCGATGCCCTGAGCCTCAAGGCAGTAGCAGCCCCGATCAGGGATATTTTCCTTAGGATGACAATGATTACTCCCTTGTTGGAGCATGTTGGAGAAAATTAGAGAGGTAGAAGTGTGAGAGGATTGTTGGTCGAGTAGCATCCTTTGGCTATGACAGTCGAGGATTGTTGACCCTTCATGGGAGAGTTTGGGTACCGTACTGGGGCAGAGTACGACAGGTGTTGATGGAAGAAGCTTATAAGTCTCGTTTCTTAATCCACCCAGGGGCAACGAAGATGTACAGAGATCTTCAAACCGATTATTGGTGGCCCTGCATGAAGCAGGACGCGGCCTGGTATGTGGAGACCCCATGACTAGATGCAACCGATAGACATTCCCGTGTGGAAATGGGAGGATATTGATGTGTATATTTAATGCACTAGTTTTTTATTAATAATTCCTAATATATCGCATCTAAACCACACCTTATAGGCAGTGAACCCAATCGAGTATAGTATAGCTTTGATAAGCAAGGGTGTCGAACACAAGGGGAACGGTAGTGAATTAATTTAAAATATTTAATTATAGGTTACAAAACACACAAATCAGTAAAGAAATGGTTTATTAAATCTCAGACGAACAATTAATTAAAAAATCTCGATAAACTAACAGGGAAACAAATCTCTTCAGGTACTTTGGTTTAGATAAATTACACCTTAAAACCACAGACAATTGCATACACAAATTCATTTATTCATGTTCACGATTCCTAAAATGATTAGATTCGCGTTCACTATAACTAATCCTTTAGCAAACAAGTCAATTCAAACAGTGATCAGCTGATTAAACTAACATGCTTCCTAGTGTTCAGTTCGTATAAAGCAAGACTTGTAATAATAGTTAATCAAATTACTAATTCAATTTAACCTCTTGTTGATGGTTTATCACACAAGGCCCACACATTAACTTACTTATTTCCGAGTTAATCCTAGTTTCACATTCGTTATTCCTAGACATATAATCTTGATTGTCATCAAAATCATAAGAGACAAGCAATCAAGCAGATGTTCATACAACTTAATTTACTTGACAATTAACAGCAAATAATTATCATTAACACATAAGGATCTTTTAACAAGCTTGTCAAGATAAATTAAACATAAACAAACAATTCAATATAGCAATTAGTCCAATAATCAACGTTTCATTCAATCATAAACAAAAAGTAAAAGGTTTTTACACCTAAATCAGAAACTAAACACATAATAGTATCACAATGGAATGCTAAACATGGTCACGTTAACAACCCATATGATTACCGACATGTATCTACTCTCCAATCCTTCCGATCTCCGCTCCCGTTAGCTTAACGGCCTTCCGGCCGCCTCCTAGACCCTCAAAACGGCAACTATGAAGTTTTCTTGTTGCACAAGTCGAAGTGGAATATCATAGATTATTCAAATTGGTGGAATGATATGGGGTATTTATAGTTGAATGGAGATGGAATTAATATGGAATATTCAATTTGGATTGGAATAAGGAAACTAATATGGCTTAGGGATTAATCAAATACAAATAAGGTAAGTGGTGCTTGGGGAACAAGTAACTTGGAGGGAATTTCCGTCCAGCTTTTATGCTTCATCTTGAAGGCCGATTTTGGATAAGATAAGTTCCGAATTAGAAAAACATCCCTCTCACATAAGTCGTAGGAAATTTCATCTAGTTTCCAGAACATTTTGAATCTCATCAATTGGACTTATGAGTCATCAAATATACCCG